TTTATTTCTTCTTCTTGTCTGATCGCTATGGGTTGCACTTCCAGTACAATGTCAAACAGGAGTGGTGAAAGTGGGCATCCCTGTCTTGTTCCTGTTCTTAGGGGAAATGGTTTTAGTTTTTGCTGTAGGTTTGTCATATAAGGCTTTTACTATATTGAGGTATAATCCCTCTATTCCCACTTTGCTGAGAGTTTTTATGAAGAAAGGTTGTTGGGAGGGGATGAGTGGGGGGTGGGGAGGGCACTGGGAGGATAAGGACACACATGTAATACCTTAATCAATAAAGAAAAATAAAATAAAAAAGAAAGGGTGTTGGATTTTATCCCACTTGGTCATGGTGTATGATCTTTCTAATATAATGTATTTATGTTATTTTAAAAAGCTGTATTTGAATTTTAGAAGAGCTGAAAGTACTACTGAGCATTCGGTCAGCCTCCTCTGAGAACAGGGGAGATGAGGTCTTACATGTAGACCCTTCCAAAGTGGCACTTGCCTTATATAAGATGTATTGATCCAGTCCCTTAAATATTACTAAGATTTAGTGTTGGCTGCATGGTAAGATAGTGTACTTTCATGAAGTTGTGTCTAGTTTATTATTTTTAAAGTGTGTTTTTCTTTTTTTAATTTGTTGATTGGTTTGAAAGAGAGAGAGAAAGAGAGACAAACATTGATTTGTTGTTCCATTTATTTATGCATTCATTGGTTGATTCTTGTATGTGCCTTGATTGGGGATCAAACCTCCAACCTTGGTTTATTGGGACAATGCTCTAACCAACTGAGCTACCCAGACAGGTCAAAGAGTGGGGCCTTATATCACTTCACAACAAAGAAAACATTACTAAATTGTGTAACTTTAAATTACTTGTTTTTTAGTTTTTGCTTGCCTGGGATTTTTGTCACCTGCCAACAGAGGAGCACTGATGACTTGTGCTGTGGTCCTATGGGTGCTGTTAGGCACTCCTGCAGGCTATGTCACTGCCAGATTCTATAAGTGTAAGTAAAAGCCATCCTGACTAGGTGTCAGATGGCAAATCTAATATGCTATATCATTGTGTGTGAGACTTGATGCCTGCTTGTTGATGCTTTAAACCAGCGGTCACCACCTTTCAGACCTCATTGACCACCAGTGATCCGTGGACTACCGGTTGGTGACCACTGCTTTAAACAATATGTATTACAGGTGTGCATCCTTATTTAAAAGAAGCCTGTGAAGTGGATGACTCTCCCTAGATTTATTTGTTAAAAGATGCTTATACAGTGAAATAGGCAAATTTAGGTGCTGCTTATCCACCATCCCATCTTTTTTTTTCCTTTTAATTTTGACTTAAGTTCAGCTGAACAATTTAATTTGCTACATTTATTGAAACATATGTGGACTAATGAAGAAAGTCTACAAATAGTTATCACCAATTTAATCCCTAAAACAAATAATAGATACAGGGATACCTTTTCTTACATGAGAGAAATCATACTTATAATTAATGTAATATTTATAAAAATAAACTGTATTAAAGTAAACTAAGATTTCACTTTTTTAAAGAGCCTTGAAGTAAGTTACTTTTGTAATATAGTTGGTTGCAATCTCTTATATTCTTGCTTTCCAAAAATAAAGTTCAGTGAATAAAAGGATTAGGGCCACAGAGTAAAGATGGGTTGGAATTAGATGGCTTAGAAAGCTCCTTCGCCAGGGGTAGTGATTGTCAGAGTTTGCCTGATTTAGGAATCCTGAAATCCACTAAGATGGTTTCATAGGTAATCTGTGAATTAAAGTGCCAGGGAGATGGGACCAAGCTAGGGTTGATAACGATTTTAAGGCTTGAGCTAAAACAGTAGGGTTACATAGCTGGCCTTAATGTGTGGTGGGCTAATACTTCAACCCCAAGTAGAAATATTAGTTAGACTTTGCCAGATAGAATTTTCTCTGGAATATGAAGTCTGTATGTATGTATGCATAAGTGTGTTTAATTTCTGTGAATTTTGTCAAGTTTTTTTCTTACATCCTTTACTAAAGGACACAGAATTAAGGTGGTCATGTGTATTTTAATATTTATCAAATATAGTTGGACCACTGCTTACACATAAGCTCCCCACCCCCTTTTTTCTAATACATTTTTATTAATTTCAGAGAGGAAAGGAGCAGAAGAGAGATAAAAACATCAATGATGAGAGAGAATCATTGATCAGCCGTCTCCTGTACACCCCTCACTGGGGATTGAGCCAGCATCCTGAGCATGTGCCCTGACAGGAATTGAATCAGAAACTCTGGTTCATAGGTTGATGCTCAACCACTGAGCCATGTCAGCTGGGTCCCCATTCTTACTGTTTTAGCTATGCTGACTTTCTTTCAGTTCTTCAATCATGTAGTAGACCCTTACACCTGCCTAAGGACCTTTCCACATGCTGTTTTCTCTGCTTGAAGTTCCAGTCCATACTCCCTCATCCCATACAAATCCCCCTTAACTCCTCTTCATTCTTAAGACCTCTCAGTTACAGATTAAGTAGCATATTAATCAGGCAGAACGTTCTGAGAGGTGTTGTTCCTCAGTCACAAAATACTTCATTATGTAGAGTCATTTCTGATGTTTAAAAAATATCATTTGAATTTTGATTGGAATTGTATTAAACCCAAAATTAATAATTTCACAATAGTCTCTTGAGAATAGTTCTCTGACTTCAAATCATATATATAATTGTCATTTTCTTTTGGGCAAGTGGTACTTGCTTATAAATTGTGTTATCACTTTTAAACAATCAAAGTATTTCTCAGATCTCAGCCAGTTTCATCCCCAACTTTTAAACTGGGAGCAGAGGAGTACTTTCACTTTTTATTCTATGTACTTGAGTTTTTTATTTTTATTTTTTAAGTGGGGGAAAAAATTGAAGAGGGAAGGAGCAAAGGAGAGTAAAATGTTTGTAAGCAAATCTGTTCTGTCAAGTGGTCATAACCCTTCTATTCATAATCACCTGCTTTGACACTGATCTCCCACCTCCACCCTCCTTCTAACAGTAACTACAGTGCTAAAGAAATCTTTCCAATTCAGACTTAGTATGGAAGTTTAAATGTGTTGCATGTCAGGCTTTAGAGTTCTTGGTTTTATAACAAACTAGAGGTCCAGTGCACGGATTCGTGTACCGGTGGGGTCCCTTGGCCTGGCCTGCACCCTCTTGCAATCTGGGACCCCTCGGGGGATGTCAGGTAGCCAGTTTCAGCCCGATCCCCACAGGCCCAATCCAGACAGGAGGGAGCCTGATCCTGTGCATTGAGCATCTGTCCCCTGGTGGTCAGTGCACATCATAGTGACTGGTCAATTGGTCATTCGGTCGTTTAGGCTTTTATATATATATAGATTCTGAGACTGACTCAAGATAAACAAGAACCTCTAGAGTGCCCTTTTTCTACTCAGTCCCATTATTGAAACTGGCCTAGAAGATAGGTTTGTTTTATTTTGTAGTATAAAAAAGAATGGGAAAGAAAAATTGATATGGATGACTTTCCTTTGATACTAGATTTATTTTATGCTGAAGCAAAAATCATTAGAGTAGGACTTACCTAGGGCAGTCTTGTGATGTGCATCTCTGATTTGAATCACTTGGGTAAGGAATAGCAAATCATTTCTTAATGCCATTTTCTATGGAAAGGCACCCAGGACTCTGACAGTTTGTCCAATACCAGACTTGGAGTATAGCTTTGAAGAAAAGTCTTTATGTTATGCCATTTTTGTTTTCTTCGACAGCCTTTGGAGGTGAGAAGTGGAAAACAAATGTTTTATTGACAGCATTTCTTTGTCCTGGGTAAGTGAATTTTTCCATAATAATTTTCTTAACATAGTCATATTGTGGTTCTCAAATTTTTAATCTATTTAATCTTTTCTGTCTCTAAACTATGTATTTAAGATAATGAATTGAATTTTTCAAAAGGGGTAAAATGAATATTTAATAAACATTTGCAGAATGATTAAATCTTTTAGTCTGTGGAAGTTAGTATGGCATGTCGTTGTGTATGCTGTGTTTTAAAGCTTTATGGCATGATCATAGAAAGGAATCCTCACCTGGTATATAATTCAGGCAGGGATACATTTTCAGGTTTTTATCGAAAAAGCCTTGCTGCTTTTTAGAGTTAATTCCATTATATAGAGTAACACATACCAAAATCTTTTTGAAAAACTTTAGAAACCACCTCATATAAAAACAAAACAAAAATGTCCCTTTGGGGACAGCTTCCGATAGCAAGTACCTGATGTACATGTAACCCTAGAAATAGAACCTATTTCTTCCCAACTCCCCAAACTCTCCCCTTCTGGTGGGCAAAAACTAGCCTCTGAATAGTCAGCAGCAATAAAGCAAGCTAAAGGTAACTCTGGAAGCCAGGACTGTTTCATTTGCAGGCCAGAAGTGAAAGAGTAACAATAGCCAGAATTTTAATAAACATTTGGGATAAATATTCTCAGGTTTTCATCTCTATTGAAGATTCCCATGCCTTTCAGCCTTTCATGTTCTGTTCAAATTTATATGCTTTTCTCAAGCTGTATCTTTTGTCCTCTTTTTTCTGAAGTGTCCCTCCTTACCAGGACTCAGCCATAATTTCCTTCAAAATCTTGCCTTTCAATTGTCCCCCCGATCTCTAACAGCTTCTATTTCTCCTTTTCTCTATGTTCTGTTCATGTATTTCACATCTTATTCCTACAAATATGCTTCGGTGTCCCAAATCCTAAAAAGAGCTTCCATGTGCACCTTCTGTCTACTATCTTATTTAATTTCCATTCCCAACAAAATACCTTGAAAAAAATAGTTTACACTTCCTTTCTCTCATTTTCTCAACATACATTTACAGAATAAAGCCATGCCATCTGTTTGTTTTTTCCTCCTGTCATTTTAGTGAACTTCTCTCTAAAGTTACCAGTGATATCATTTTCAAATATAAAAATGTTTTTCTCTGACTTTACCTCTCAACATTGTCTAACTTTGGGATACCTTCTCTTTGAAACTCCTTCCTTTTTTGGCTTCATAGAAATTATCCCTTCCCTGTTCCTTTATGTCTCTGAAAAACCCTTCTCTGATCTTCATTCCACTTTTAAAAGTAGATGTTCACCAGTAGGATGGTGAGGTAAACAGAGAGAGAGAGAGACAGAGACACAGCCAAGAACCCAAGTTCCCGCCCGGAACAAGAGAAATTGGTGTTCACCTAGGAAAGGAAGCATCATTTAATAGTATTAAATTCATATAATTTTATATAAATAAACACCTGCATATAATCATTACAGTAGATACAACAAAATGTAATTTGATAATATTAAGCATTATTTCCAGATTTAAAAAGAATTTAATAGAGAAATGCTTTCTTATATTAACAAAAATCTCATCTCTAATTCAAAACCAACATTTAATGATGAAACACTAGACACATTTTTATTAAATCACTTTTGTATTTAAGTTCTATTCACAGCATGAGACTAATAATACATTTCCAAAAGTGGAGATCATATTATTATTTATTGGTGACAGTTTGTACATAAAGAACATTATATAAAACTTGTAGAATTAAGAGTTTAGCAGAATGGCTAGATATCAGCTAATACTCAAAGATCATGAATACCACCAAGAGCAAATTAAATATTTTAAACCTAGTGGTATTTTTGTGGGAAGAGAAATCTGTGTACAGTAATATTAGCAACAGAAAACATTTACAATACCTGAAGTAACTTCTGAAAATAGGCACGATCCATATGACAAGTCTACAATGCTTATTAACTAGTAAAAGATACAAATTCACCATGTTACGTGATGAGAAGACTTAAGTATTCTGAAGGAGTTTGGAGATGTCTCATGGCTAGCAAGACAGAGAACACAAAAATAGACTATGTATACATGGAATTATGCTAGATGTGGCATCAAAAACCAGAGGAACCGTAAAATGATGCTGGAACAATTGATTATATGAAGGGAGAAAAATTCTGTTTTTACCTCACACATGAAATCAGTTCTAGGTGGATTAAAATCTAAATGTAACAGGCATAACAATTAGATGAAAATATAGAAGGTTAGGAAAAGCTTTCTTTTCTTAAACAAGTTACCCAAAGGATAAAGGGAAAAAAGTGATGACTTTGATGAATAAAAAACTCTGTGGGTTATATAGAAGTGATTGTAGTATGATTATAGTCATGTTTTCTAAAATGTACTCATAGAAAAAAGACTGAAAGGAAATTAAGTACACATATTCAAATGTTTGAGTTCATCAAAAGCCATAAACTGGAGAACAAGATATTTAACAAGGAGTTCGTTGCTAGAGTGTATAAAAGCTGACATATGTGACTTTGCAAAAGCCATGCAACCCAAATGAAAAATGAGTAGTAGATGTAATCAGCAAGTCACAAAAGGTAAGGCCTCAGAAGCCAACAAACACAGGATGATCAGCTACAATTGTCAATAGGAAATGCAAATTAAACAACAAATCTGACAGTCCCAAATATAATGAAAATATGTAAAGAGGTAACTTAGCCCTAGTTTGGCTCAGTGGATAGAGCGTCAGCCTGCGGACTGAAAGTTCCCAGGTTCGATTCTGGTCAAGGGCATGTACCTTGGTTGCAGGCACATCCCCAGTTGGGGGTGTGCAGAAGGCAGCTGATCAATGTTTCTCTCACATCGATGTTTCTAACTCTCTATTCCTCTCCCTTCCTCTCTGTAAAATATATTTTTTTTAAAAAAAGAGATAACTTTCAGAAGCTGCTGATAGGAATTTAAATTAGGCACAACCAATCGAGCAATTTGACATTTTCTACGAAGTTTTAAATTCACATAGCCTATGACTGAGCAGTTTTTCTTTGTGTGTAACACAGAAATTGTGATATTATTACATATGATCGCTACCATTTATTTCATTTTGTCTCTAACTCAAGCTTTACCTAAAAGCCTCTGTTATCTTTCAGGATTGTATTCGCTGACTTCTTTCTAATGAATCTGATTCTCTGGGGAGAAGGATCTTCAGCAGCTATTCCTTTTGGAACGCTGGTTGCCATATTGGCCCTTTGGTTCTGCATATCTGTGCCTCTAACGTTTATTGGTGCATACTTTGGTTTTAAGAAAAATGTAAGTTTATAGGTGTTAACTTATTCAAATGAATTTCAACTGTGGGAACTAATTTATGCCACCTTAAAAGACATTTGTCTAAAAGATATAGACTTGTCCTGTGGGATCTGGATTTCACAGAAAATTGATGACTTCAAAGTTTGATTTCAGTCATTTAAAAAAGTCGTATATACTCAGGAGTGTGCTAGAGAGATTACAGATATAAACTTAGATTTCATAGTTTTTTAAGTAAATGGAAACTAATACAAATTGATAGGAAATGAAAAGCTAATTTAAACTAATTAAAACTCTGAATTTTTCACATTAAAATAAATTATTTTACTTTTTTTTTTTAACCTAAAAAGTATGTACATTTTGTCCTTAACAATAAGTGTTTCTAGTTTGCATTATTTAAGTAAACCAAGAGTATGGGTTAGGAAGTGAAGTAAAAAAGTGACCATAAAATAAGACTAGCAGCTTTTAAAATATGTAGTTTTGAAATAAATTTCATATGCTTATCTGCTAATACTTGATTTTAAGGAAGATTATAATCAGTTCAGCCCTTCCCTTCCTTCTTTCTATCTTTCTCTACCTCTTTTTATCCTCAGGCTAATCACTTAGAAATTTTTTCTTCAGTGTCATTCTCTAACTTTACTATCCTTGCTCTTTGAAAATATTCAGTCCACAAGTTAAAAGAAATAATGTATCACAGTATACTTTGTGAGGCAACCTGGAACCTTTGGAAGAAACTCTAAGTGCTTCATAGTCTCCACTGCATCTACCATGCCAGTCTACTAAAAAATTTTTCAATTTTTTGACATTTTGTTTAAGTTATGGTTTAAAATCTAAATAGCATAAATAGTAAACTGAAATTTTTTAAATTACAGATTAAGTACTGAAAATTATAAAATATAACAATTGAAGAAAGATAGGTAATGATTCTATGCACATATATACATATATCTACATGTATAATAATCTAGTCCATGGAAGTATAATCTCAATGAGACTGACAAGTTTTAAATTTTTATGTATCATCACAAAAATTTTAGAAGTATGCTTTGAACTTTCTTGCAAGAAAATGAACTTGTACATACCTGCCCTTTTCCCCTCTCATGTAACTATGTTTAGGTACTTTCGTTTCTAGTGTTTTTATACTATCATGTAATGTGTTATCAAAGAGAGAATAATTGAGAACATTCCCCATACTGTATAGTCATAAAGCTTCATATATTCATTGTCTTCTTCATGTTCTTAAGTCTTAGTAAAATTGAGCTATTTTAATAAAGATGACATCGCCCATCTCTAAATAAAAATACATTGACAGAATTAAGAATCAGATGATTTCTTACAGGGGGTATATATATAAAAGGAGGAAAAAAAACCCTTTTTTATTAACTTATTTTCCAAGTGTTATATTATCTCCTGTGTATTTCATACTTTATGTAAAGCCATTAGCCAGTGGATAACTGCTGGAAGCAGTGGTGGCTTGATCCAGTAGACAGACTGTTGCACCGGATAGTATCTGGCTTGTGGCTTCTAAATAAAGATTTCTGTGGGATGACTTAGGTAGCTTTGTATTGCCATTAGTGTCACCATGGAAGCTGAGAAAAAAAACACAGGCAAATAATCTAGTACAGAGAAGAATTTTACAAGTATATATGTAATTATGAACCCTTTCTTTCATTCTTTCTTTACTGAAGGCCATTGAACACCCAGTTCGAACCAATCAGATTCCACGTCAGATTCCTGATCAGTCCTTCTACACAAAGCCATTGCCTGGTATTATCATGGGAGGAATTTTGCCCTTTGGGTGCATCTTTATACAGCTTTTCTTCATTCTGAATAGTATTTGGTAAGCTAAAGACTAAGTCCTCTTATTGCTATTACCATTATATGTATTACTAGCTTTCTCTTTTTGTTTATATGGATTACTGTTTATATCTTACAGATTGAAGCTGTTCTCTCCAATAATCAGAAATCTTAAGAGCAAAAAAGTAATTTCTTTTTCCATGTGGGAAAAAGATAATAGTGATAGCTATGATTAATTGAGGCTTATTAATTCTTACTCTAACTTAATTCTCAGATCTCTATGAGGTATTTATTATCCACATTTTACAGAGATAAAAAGGATGCTTTAGAAGTTACGTAATTTAATTTGCCTGTGTCACATAGTTACCATGTGACACAAAAGTTAATCCAAATCTTCAAACCTATGTTCTTAAATAAGTCATCTGTACTGCTTCATAGAAGATACTCTGAGCCTCCTGATCGAGAGGTTCCGAGCAGGCTTTGGAGGAAGGGTTGAGCTAGCTAACCTTTCAAAGTCCTTTATTATCCTGAGTCCTTTATTCTCTGACTTCTTATTTTCATTGAAAAATTCATAGAGTTAATTTTGAGCCACTCCATTAGACAGTCTTTGGGATATGTAGGACTCAACGTCATTTCGTGGTTACATCGCCATCTCCCATTTATTTATTAAAAAAAACTTCTGTCATTTTGACGTATGTACATATGTGCTTTATGTTTTTTATTATTTATTTACTACAAGTAAAGGTCAGGAATTGTTATCTTTTAAATTTTTTTTTTTACTGTTTCACTTCATTACTGCTGTGTATGTGCTCCATGTGAGTGACGTAGATGCTTAAGTAGATGGGTTCCGACTTATAGTGAAAATCGCGTCATGTTGTGCCTTAGGAACAGATCTCTGACGTAACCCGAGGACCTACTGGATTAGGATAGTTACTTGATCACATTGACATATGTTACAGAAAGTATCGAGGTTTGAGGTAGCATAAAGTGAGAACTAAATTTGAGCTTTTTAGTGATTAGAACCTCTTTCTTTCAGGTTTATTATAATATTTTCCAAATTCAACTGCTTTTATAATATACTAGAGGCCCGGTGCACAAAAATTTTTGCACTCGGGGGGAAGGGAGGGTCCCTCAGCCTGGCCTGTGCCCTCTCACAGTCTGGGACCCCTCGGGAGATAACGCCCTGCTGGCTTAGGCCTGCTCCTGGGTGGCAGAGGGCAGGCCCAATCCCTAGGTGCAGCCCCTGGTCGGGCTCAGAGCAGGGCCGATTGGGGGGTTGGGGCACCGCCCCCTGTCACACTCAAGGCAGGGTCAATGGGGAGGTTGCGGTGCCACCCCCCGTCATGCACAGAGCAGGGCCCATCAGGGGGTTGGGACGCCACCACTCTCATACTCAGGGCAGGGCCGATGGGGAGGTTATGGCTCTACCCCATCACACACAGAGCAGGGCCCGTGGGAGGGGTGGGGGTTGTGGCACCGCTTCCTGTCACCTACGGAGCAGGGCCAATCAGGGGGTTGGGGTGCCGCACCCTGTCACACACAGAGCCGCAGAGCGATCAGAGGTTGGGGAGCTCCCCCGTATCAGGCACAGAGCAGGGCTGATCAGGAGGTTGGGGCGCCTTCCCCTGTCACAAACAGAGCAGGGCGGATAGGGAGGTTGTGGCCCCACCCCCTGTCACACACAGCCGCAGGGCAATCAGGGGTTTTGGGCGCTGCCCCCTATCACGCTGATCCCAGTGCCGGGAGGCCTCGTGGCTCTGCTGATCCCGGTGCTGGGAGGCATATTACCCTTTTACTATATAGAATAGAGGCCTGGTGCACGGGTGGGGCTGGCTGGTTTGCCCTGAAGGGTGCCCTGGATCAGGGTGGGGGTCCCCACTGGGGTGCCTGGCCAGCCTGGGTGAGGGGATGATGGCTGTTTGCAGCTGGTCACACACCCTTCAGGGCGGGGGTCCCCACTGGGGTGCCTGGCCAGTCTGGGTGAGGGGCTGAGGGCTGTTTTCAGGCTGGCAGGTTACGGAAGCTCCCAACCACTCCTTTTTTTCTTTTCTTTTTTTTTAATTCTGGGCCAGCTTTAGCTCTGAGGCTCCAGCTCTTAGGCCTCCACTGCTGAAAGTAGGTATCTGGTTTGTTTCGGTTCTATAATCGAAACAATGTATAACTCCAGCTCTGACTCCAGCTCTGAGATCCCTGCTCGCTGAAAGCAGGTTTCTGGAGGGTTTTTTTTAGCTTCTATATGTTACTATGTTTCAAACTGCCCACTCAGAGGCCTGCAAGGGAGGCGGGGGACGTTGGAGTCGTCCGTCACTGAAGCAAGCAAGCCTCATGTTCACTTTAAGCTGCCTGGCTGCCGGCCGCCATCTTGGCTGTCAGTTAATTTGCATATCTCGCTGATTAGCCAATGGGAAGGGTAGCGGTCGTACGCCAATTACCATGTTTCTCTTTTATTAGTGTAGATATACTAAATGTGGCCATTTCTTAGTTTGGCTATGACTTTCCATTAATTTTTTATCAAATTTGTGAGACTCACCAGTAGACAGTTAGACTAAGCATATTTGAATAAATAAGAGTTTTAGGTTCTACCTGAGCAGGAAGCCAAAGTCCATGACATTGCCATACCCTTCCTCCCCTGCCCCACTCCTACCCTATCATTGTCTAAATCTGTACGAATTTGTCTTCTCTGATTAGTTGGAAGAAGACCCTGGCAGGGTAGCTCAGTTGGTTAGAGCAGCAGCCCCAAAAGGCCAAGGTTGCAGGTTTGATCCCTGGTTAGGGCACATAACAAGAATCAACCAATGAATGCGTAAATAAGTGGAACAACAAATTGATGTTTCTCTCTCCCTCTCTTTCTCCCTTCTGCTCTCTCTTAAATCAAAATTTGAAGAAAAAAAAGGTGGTCCTGGTTGGTGTGTTTCAGTTGGTTGAGCGTTGTCCAGTGCACCAAAAGGTCCCTGGTTCAGTTCCCAGTCAGGGCACATACCCAGATTGCAGGTTGGATCCCAGCTCAGGGTGCATGCAGGAGGCAGCCAATCAATGTTACACTCTCACATCAATGTTTCTCTCTCCTCCCTCCCTCTCATTAAAATCAGTAAAAACATGTTAAAAAATATGTTTTACCAAAAAAAAAAAAGGTGTATCTTAATTAGTTGGGAGAAACAGCAAACATTTTCAGTTCAAGAAAAATGAAAAGATTGTGTTATTTACTATGTCAAAGAGAAAATATAATTTCATTTTGACATGTTTGATTATAGGTCACACCAGATGTACTACATGTTTGGCTTCCTGTTTCTGGTGTTTATCATTTTGGTTATTACATGTTCTGAAGCAACTATACTTCTTTGCTATTTCCACCTATGTGCTGAGGTATGTATTAGCAGTATTCACTTACATTAATTTGTACATGGTATAATTTTGGCATAAGACTGAAACTATTAATTGAAATAATTTTTGCAGATATGTCTCATTAAGGTAGAAATTGACCTGTATTCCTAAGTTAAATGTAGTCCTTTTTAGGATTGAATTAAGATTGTATCCCAGTTCAGTAATAGTATTTACTTTGAGCCTAACTTTAAAATGTTAATTTCCTAAGAATAGCACATCATGCTAAATTTTTATTTTTTTAAATGTCTGACTTGATTAATATTCTTTTTGTAACAGATATTTCTAGACTGAAAATTTAGGAAACATAAACATATTTTAGTGAAAAAAATTATTAAAACATTACATTGTAATGTGATATTCATGGCAACCTGGCAAAATGATGGTACCCTATATAATAGGTTAGAGTTGATGTCTAAAGATTTAGGTTGTGTTAAATCATTTTTTTATAGTTACTTTCTTTACAGGAGATAAAATCTAACTTTGTTAAAATTGAGATGCTTTTTTAAAAAAATTAAGGTTAACAGAACAGTCATGGAGATGTAAAGTACAGCATAAGGAATATAGTCAATAATCTATACTAACAAAAGAGTAATATGCTAATTAGACTGGACTGACCAGACATCTGCTGGATCTCCAACTTCCTTCCAGACAAAGCCACAGTGGTGGGGGCTGAGGCAGAGATGGTTAGGGGTGATCAGGCTGGCAGGGGAGCAAGTAGTTAAGGGCAATCAGGCCAGCAGTGGAGCAAGCAGTTAGGGTGAGATCAGGCTTGCATGGCGGAGCAAGCAGTTAGGGGCGAGATCAGGCTGGTGCGTGGGAGCAAGCAGTTATGGTGAGATCAGGCCAGTGCGGGGGAGCGCAGTTAGGGGCACACTCAGGCTGGGACAGGGGCACAAGTTTCGTGCACCGGGCCTCTAGTATTCTAATAACTATGTATGGTGTCAGATGTATATGAGATTTATTGGGATGATCACTTAATAAGTTACATAATGTCTAATCACTGGTGTACACCCAAAATTAATACAATATTGTATGTCAACTGTAATTGAAAAATTAAAAAAAAATAATAATTTCCCAGAAGAAAAAAAAAATCAAGGTTAAATTCATATAACATAAAACCAATAATTTTAAAGTGAACATTTTATTGGCACTTACTACATTTACAGTATTGTATAACCACCACTTCCGTCTTGTTTCAAAATATTTTCATCATTCCCCCCCCCTTAAATAAAATCCCATACCCATTAACAGTAACTTCCCCTCCCCCCTCCCCAACACCAATCTGCTTTGTCTCTACAGATACTTCATATAATATGTGTAGCCGTTTGGGTCTGGCTTCTTTCACTTAGCAGGCTGTTTTCAGGGTTCAGCATATTGTAACGTATTAGTACTTCATTTTATTTTATAGCTGAATAATATTCCATTGTATAGATATACCCCAATTTGTTCACCTATTGGTGGACATTAGGTTTGTTTCCACCTTTTGGCTATTATAAATAGTACTAGAGGCCCGGTGCACAAACATTTGTGCACTCGGGGGAAAGGGGGGTCCCTCATACCAGCCTGTGCCCTCTTGCAGTCTGGGACCCCTCGGGAGATAATGACCTGCTGGCTTAGGCCTGCTCCCGGGTGGCAGAGGGCAGGCCCAATCCCTAGGTGCAGCCCCTGGTTGGGCT